TAACACAACACAACTTTCATACATAAAAATATGACTACTTTGAAGCGTGGCATATTTTATTTCTTGCATTATTTAACATTGACTTTAAAAATTTATTAATTCGCTCTGAACTATAGCAATGCTCCCAATTGCGCAAGACTCCCAAACACGCGGGGCCCATAACATTTGCTACTTTTGCTACGTGGCTAATCCGGCCCTAGCCTAATCCACCAAGTATTAGTAGCATCACGTAGTATTTGGTAAATTAGAGATGTGAGAATTCGACGCCATAAATTTATGGGATACTAACAATTTTACATAAGTAATACCTTAGGTGCCTATATATCTATGTTCCATCTAGTCTTGCACTTACCTACCTACGGAATATTTGTAAAATAGCATAATACCTACTATGAAATACCAGATACACGGACCTGCTTTAGTGAATACCTCTCACATCTATTTATACATTAGCTACATTAGGATTTCAGGACCAGAACCAGATCTCCGATTTTAACCGGGGCAGAAACTTTGTATGGCCCTTTGTCCTCTACTATCGCCCCTTTCTCCCCCTTCGCTCCATGAAGCCGGATTCTATACTATGATATTTTTATTTCATTTAGAAATTTTGAAATTTTGGAGTAAGCCCGTTCCATCATAACATAACATATAGCTCATTCTTTTTAACTGTAATTAGGTTTTAAATGATGATTTTGGCGCCTTCCAAGATATGGCAGAACTGAAATATACTTTCTGGCTGATGTTGGTCAGTAGGTATAGAACAAAGCATGGGCTTATACGGCGGTGCTTAATCGCCAACTCTATAATAGCATTAACTTAGAAATGCCGACTCTTATAATTCAAAGGTGGCACAAAGTGCGCCAGGCACGTTATTATGTAATGAAACAGTGAAAAAGTATATCTTTTATTATAGTTCTGCGCTTACGGCATAAAACAACTGGACGCTTAACGGTCATTGTATGGTTTATATCAAGCATAAAAAAGATATTGTTATAATACCACTATGCGTCTTTACCTCTCAACCTTTATAAAACCAAATGCGATAAAACTAGTTTTTAGAAAGGAACCCTTAACGAACAACGACATAAATATAATTAAAAAAGAAACAACTTCATTCGAAACATGACATTTATTCAACAAAATATCTACACACTGCTTACATATCCTGCGTAAAACAATAAGATTACAAACTCTGATTAGGCTATTTGGTGTCATAAATAATTCATTATACAAAATAATTAAGGCAGCACCAGCAAAGTACACAACACTTTGATAATCGTACCATATCGCAACGTAATTAAGTTTGCTCTTACGTGTTTTATGCCAGTACGTGGCTACATCAAATCAACATAAAATAAAATGTCAAAATAAAAAATAAAAAAACAAATTTACAACAATCTCACAACGTATAAAATTCTTTACATAAAACGCGTAACATTAATTTCGTATCAATTATTCAAAACGCTACACGAGGCAATAATATTATATTCTCAATAAACATCTAAATCTATGGAATATATTAATCAAACATTATCAACACGTACGTCAAAATGTCGAGTACGCATCGACTATGTACTCTGATCAATGAACAACTACTCGGGGTTAATAACAAAGTGCACCAGACATTACTCTGAATAATATTAATTTTCAAAATATTTTATTTTCTTCTTTAGGTATTATTAAACGTCTTAAATACCAATAGAAAGCCTAATCATTCTAATTTAAAAACAACAATCTATCATTTCAACTATTCCACTGAACACTACGGGGGCTAAGACTAAAGCATTTTATGGACCCCCTTCTCTTTCATTCTTAAGTTAATAAAAGAGACGGCGCGTTAAATATTCCGTCTATCCCATTCATATAGGCCATTTCATCTATCAGTTGGTCACAGAACTCATATCAACTCATCACTATCGAACAACGAGGATTTGGTTCCGAATATAAACTAACACTACAATGTTATTCCATAACACTATAAACACTAGTAAAAACGAAACGATAATTGGTAATATATACTTACCGAGGGATAAAACTTATTGTCAACCTTACCTCACTAATAAATACGGTAGTAAATACAATGGCCACTAAGACAGTGTACGAACACTATTAGACAGTTGTTGCGAATGCAATCAGAGGTTTATTACCGTTTCGCTCTTCTAGTAGATTTAATATAAGATATTTAGACGAACATCTACTTATATTAGACAAAATAATGACTAGATTTAGAACCTCAATGACGATAATGTACCTATTTTGTTAATCAATTGGGTATTACATTCGTCGAACTATCACGGAAAATTTCATCACAATAATAGGACCTCCTCAAAATACTGTATTATGTTAGAATTCATAGACACTTATTATCTTATATTAAAAACTGAGGTGATATCCGTGATATAAAACACCCTATGATTCTTCCGTTTTTTACAATCAATTGAATATAGTTCTTAACGAATTGTAAATAAGGTCTAAATTAGATAGTTATCATCAAACGGTAGTGAAATAGGCGTCAGACACCTTTATCGGCAAAGCTCGGATTGCTTAAAAATACTTTTTTTTTTAATAATAAATACCTTAGTTTGACACCGTCTTATTGCACTGGGTAATATACGTCATACGCGGGTCAGCTAGCGGTACTCTTAAAATTATTACGCGATTTACTAGTTGTAGGCAATATTATAGACTTGACGATAAAACAGTGACACCTACAGTATTATTGTTTTATTATTTTCATCCTCAAATGTGAGATGTATGCAGTACAGTATACAATAAGCAACTTTAATAGAAACCTTTTAGAGAAAATTAGTTTTCAAACTTTTTAAGTCTATTTTTTCATATTTAGAATTATTATTAAAAAAAAAAACTCCAAAACTGTTCTTACAACTGAGCAATATAATCTGTAGCTTGACTAAACATTATTTTAGCGTTAATATTTTCTAATGATTTCCTGAATACAAGTTTGGAAAAAGTTATAATTTTTTTTTATTATTGTAGTTATAAATTCTTTTTTGTGACCAATATTAATAACAAGACTTGTATATTTCCGAAAAGAAGTCCTTGATATTGTATCTCAGATAGCTTATATTTTCAAGTATTTATACAAAAATGTGTTCCTTAGGGGTTTAATATCGCCAACAACTAGGTATGCAACCTCAAAAAACGACTTAATCACTCAACCATATTAATATAACACTACACTAATATTTGTGCGTATCAACCTATCAACAATTACCACGTCACTCGTTCACGACACCGAAGGATACTCTGGTACACCGATAAATACACTAATATAAATATATTTTTTATATACTTATTGCTGTCTCTGTCACACAGACTAAAACGAGGAGCTCGATAATTCTCACTTACATTACTTAATTGTACTATAAGGTTTACAATAATAATAACAGCGCACCAACACATTTGGTAACATAATGGAATATAACTTTGGTTAACAAAACGCAAATGTATGGCCCTATTAACATACAACTATGGAATTCAATCTCTACACATTACTCTACTGATATTTAGAATTGGGTCCTACGAAGATTTCGTTAAACGGTAGACGAGACAGGACGATAATGCGATGCTATATAGACTATCCCAGGGGCAAACCTAAAAAACGATACAGATAACAAAAGACAGCAAAAAACGATACGTATCCCTATCCATAGACCTATGTATCGTTTACGCGTATAACATTATTATGTTGCACTGAACGCTATAGACCCAGACCCCGTACAACAATAGACATTGCTACTAAGGAATGCAATCTCGTTCTCGCGATATCTCGGTCTTTTTTAACGAGATTAATCTCGGTCGAAAAATGGGCGAGAACTCGTGAGTTTAACGAGATTGCTCTCGAGAATTTAGAAATTAGATTAAAAAGTTTCAATTTGGTTTTACACTTATATTGTAGGAATTGTTAAAAAATAACTGTTTTTTTTAAGACTGTTATTTGATATTACAAAAGAAGACTGATTGTTTATTTCATTTTGTAGTTGATTAGATAAGTCAAAGTTCCCGACTTGAAAGTTTATTCAAAAAAATATATATATTATTTTTTTATAATACTACTATTTGATTAGATGCATCAAAGTTTCCTACTTTAAACTTTTTTATTAAAAATGTTATACATATACTACAAAGAACAAAACTTTATTGAAAAAAATATATGTTTATTTATTTATTTTATTTTATCCGATTCATAATACCTATAATTCTTATTACTTTTTCGTTAAATATTTAAGTAATCACAGTATTTGGCAGTTTTGAATTTTTTAAACACAAAACCGCCAATCTCGTGAGATCTCGCGGTATTGATATTCATAAACTCGCGAGATCTCGCCCGAGCTTCAATCTCGCGAGATTGCATTCCCTAATTGCTACGAATAAAAGGATACAGGAATCTATGGATAGTGTATTTTCTGCCATTATCTGGTTTTTCGCAAGCCATTGGAACAAAATATAGCCTCTTTTTTTACATTTAAAACGTACGTTACAATTAAAACGTCCTATCGTACTCCTCGTGTAACGAAACCTTAACACTAGTAATAGTGTACAATCAACGACAGATTTATTGAATTATCTTTTGTACGCAATAGTTGTGAGGATAAAAATATCACTATTTCTAAATTACTATTATAAAATTGAATTAAAAATAAAGATCAGTTATGGTTGGAAATAAAGTGTTCTACTATAATGTTACAGTTTAGTGAAGTTTAATCAAAATTAACTTTCTTTCCATTCTAATTCTTCTAATACACTTTCACTACTTAGTCATTCAAGTACTATTTATTTATATCAGTTAAAATTTTCGCTTCAATGTGTTTACAACTATCGCGCCAAGTAAAATAACATTATTATAATGTATTTGTCGTGGGTCAATCGTTGAATTGGGCCGATCGAGATCTGCCCGGGCTTTCGGTAAACCTTAAGTATTGAACGATATGGCGGATGATAGATGGCCAAATCAAGAAACGGCGGCATATCGTGATACGCCCGGGCAGATCTCGATCGCCTCAATTCAATGGCCTACGACATATACATAAGTTATTTATAGTCGTGTTTAAAAATATGACTACAACATTAAGATTTCTCTGTAACACAGTGAACTACCCGTCAGAAGTAAGTATATTTTTATTTTTATTATTTAACTATACCTGTACATAGAACACTCCTACAAATCTGACACGGACTGTACAAACTACAACATATCAAAAACTAAACAATAAACAATGATTAAAAATATCAGCTACATTTTTCAAAATTTTTTACATTTACATATTGCTTTTACGGGTTCCTTGTAGCGGAAGACGTCTGCTTCTAAGCCACAATAAGGCAAATTCATTTATCGCAGAAAAATCATATAAATTATCTTAAATTTAATTTGTAGAAACGTATGACTTCTATTTATAAACCATTTAACAGATTGAATTAAAACTACAGTTTCTTAATTTCTGTAAATAATCGTTTCTCAACGTGGGATTTTCATTAATTTCATTTTTATAAAGTTCACCTTTGATTAAGTACTAAAATTAAATTAAGTATATATAATTAGTAGCGTTTTCGAATATTAATTCGCTCACTGAATAGTACAGTGGCACAACTCAAAAACCATTATTTCGAGAAAACGCCACAACATTGTGGTGGCATCCCGTAGATAATTTAAAGAAAAAATAAAAAACTTAACAGTAATAATTTAAAACAAACGATTTAACTGTTATGCTAAAAAAATTGATTTTCATAATTATAAATATATGAGATTTTCATAACTTCGGAGAGCGTTTCTCGAAATTATGGTTTTTGAGTTGTGCCACTGTACTATTCAGTGAGCGAATTAATGTCTGAACCAATCAGGTATTTTCAAATTAACAAATTAATGCAACAATTTTAAACAACCTTTTCAATATTCAGTAGCTATAATAACAAAGAAATACTGTCTAGGCCTTTTTATGACTACCTAAGGAAGTAATCAGAAAACGGAACGTCAAACTTTATCTGTCATTCTATTACTTTCTGACGTAATGAATCGTAATATGGTAAAAAGGTTAAATACAAAACTATTTTCTCGTTTTACACAACATTATAAATATTTCTACTAAATAAAAAGGAACAACGCGAAACAGAAAATACTAAAAGTCGCGGTTAATTAAAGTTTATTACATTGTTATAAAATACATTAAAAATAAACTTTATTTGACACACAAAATTTAGGCCCACACTTTCTTTTCGAAATTAAGCCTTATATCATTAATTATATAAGGGGTCATATGGCTGAACATTTCTTTATATGAAAAGTGTCTAAAATACTCACACAAGGTACATATCTGTTTAATAAAGACACGAGCAATTTCGATCTTATATCAATCTGAGGTAGAGTAAGGTAGGACATTCAAAGTATGATATTTCATAAATTGTATAGTGATTTTCGTAGCTTACATAGGAATATATAGTATATGAATATACAATATATCTATGTAAAAATACTTTTTCAAATTAACTATGTATATAATAAATACAGAAAATGGGCTTATTGGTCTCCAATCAATGAATAATGATTCTTTTACCAAATTTAAATAATAGTAGAAAAAAGAGAACTATTTAAAAGAGAATATTACCGATTTCAATAAAGATAACTTTAACTACTCAAAATGTATATATGTATTTTCGAAAAAAACACAGACAGTAAATATTAACAACATAATGTATTTACTCTGTCGATTTCATTTAAAAGTAAATTCACCAACAAAATATTATATTTACATTTCAAATATATCTGATAGAGGTTCTCTGTTAAACAAAAGACAAACTTCAATTATAGTTTTCTATAGAAGCACATCGCGTGATCACGCGGTATGGCACATAAAATGTCACACGACGTAAGAGACCCAAAGCCATAGGGCCAGAACGGCCAGGAAACACTTAGAAATACAGATTAAAATAATCTGTTATGGTCAAAGACTTATATGTATACTACTAGACAAAGTATATAAAATTCAGACAAACAATATTCTCATGTAAATAACAAATAAACTTTAAAAAAAAAACACTATTAGCAAATTATGGACTTTTAATTGATCCTTTTATATAAATAAATCAGCAGGGACTTTTATTTTATATACTTATATATATATATGATCATTAGCTGAAAAGGTTGAAAAACACTGCCATATTCTTTTTTTGACAACTCAGCGGCTTTATGTATTATAAATAGAAACCTAATTATAAATTAATTAAAATAATATGAAAAGGAGCACTAAAGGATTTGTGTTAGCATAAATCGACGCACATACATATGTTTGAAATTTAAATATACATTAAAGAAGACTTAATCTCTTATTCTGAACTCTCCTACCCCCGTTAGAGTCGCTTGGCTCTAGTACTATAGTTTGTCTAGTAGTAAATGTAGAAGTCTTTAGACAACTCAGGTTACAATAATCTGCTATGGTTTATTGGTAATAGCTCACATGGTGGAGATGTTAGGGTTGGAGTCGGCGGGCCGGTGGCAGAAGAGAGTGGGCGGGGGGGCGGAGCGCTAGGGGCTAGCGTGGTGGCGGCGCCGGCGCCGGAATACGAGCGCGAATATACTGCGGAGCCGCCGCCACCGTCGCCGCCCCCCGCCCGTCGATATACCCGTGCTCATCAGAGACGACTGTCAAATTATTCATTATATGTACTGCTTTTAAAAAATATTTTCCTTTTTCTTTATTGATTTACTATTTCTTTAACCAATACATAGATGGAATAATTATAATGAGGGATTTAAGATCCAGCGCAATTAATACTTAAAGGTTTTACATCATGGAATAATAAAAAACAATATTTATCAAAAACAAATTCACAATTCACTCGGATATGTAGGTAGGTATTCAGAAGGACTAAAAGAACAAGTATGTATACTAATTGGAGGTCAAACCTTGAAGGTTTATTGACTACGTTATTGTATGGTGTAATACTGTGGATTGTGGACACCACAACCATGATTTTGAAGTATGGAAATTTTAAACCTTAGAGATTCGATTTAGTTTACCTGTCTTTGTCTCTCAAGTCTGCGTATTTCTCTGACGAGAGCATAGAAGGCATCGTCAACAAAGTGTCTCAAAGCTGCGGATGTCTCGAAAAATGGGCATCCCAACTGAGTAGCTAGAGCCTTGCCTTCCTCTGTGGTGACCTACCAAATAAAATTAAATTGTGTATAGTTAACTTTATATATAATATAACTTGGATTAACCAGTTTTGGCCATCAATAAATTATGCTAGTGTTCTAATATGATGAATTAATTTTTAGAAATTTAAATGTTTATAGTGACATTTTGCTCTTATAATGCAATACTTTGTTATTATAAACAAATAAAAACACAATCTTAAAAAAACCTCAACAAAATGAATGCTTTAAAAGAATGAAACATGGCTTTTTTCTCAATGTTCAATTTTTTAAGCAAGTGAGTGAACAAATTAGTCATACAATTTAAAAAATTACTGACCTGTCTAAGTCGTGGTGCAAGATCTAGCTTGTTTCCAACTAGTACAAGGGGCAGACGCTCCGCAGGGCGTGCTTGTGCTAACAGTCGTCGATACTCTGCAGCCGCACGAAATGAACGCCGATCCGTTACAGAATAACACAACACAAAACCTTCCCCACATCTCATATACTGTTCGCGCATAGCTGTGAACTCGACCTGTGGTACAAATTATATTAAGCATTTTATAGACAATTTAAGTTATTCATAAAATTCTTAATTCTTTATAATCAAATGAAAGTTATTGACTGTCAATTTTGTCAAGCATTTATTACATGCAAATTTTTTCTAAAATTGCAATGCAAATGCAAATTTTCACATCGTAATTAATTGTACACACCTGACCAGCTGTGTCCAGGATATCTAATAAAGCTGGCTCATCATCAATAACTGCTTGCTGCTGATATGAATCCTCTGAAATTAATTTCAAATATGTTTTAGTAACAGTAAACAGCTTTTCCTAAATAACAAATTGTTTCAAAAAATGCATGTTTATTCATTATTCTTGCTTATTTTGTGCAAAAGTTAGTTTATTAATAAACAACTATCTTGCTTATCAGAGGAATACCAACGCCACAGCTATGCCTCACCTATAGTAGGGTCATGGTAATCTAAGAAACTGTGGCTGACAAACTGCAGTGTGACCGCAGACTTGCCGACACCACCGTCGCCCAGCACCACGATCTTGTAGACACGGAGGCCACGCGACGTGCCCGCAGCCTCGCCCGCCATACCCCTGCATGCCTAGAGCCCCGACACCAATCCTCTTCTTGGGCGGCGCCACCCTCACCCCAAATACACAGCCATAACAAACCACACGACACTTACGCCTCTACTTTGATATTATTTAACTTGACATACATTCTAATTTTTAATCATCGTCTCTCATTTTGAGTAAATTATTATAAATAATCTGCAATAAAATATCGACAATTCGACAGCTGATTGAAATACAGTCGATTGACACAAATTGACATTTTGGTTATATAGTTCTTTATGTTGGCAATGAATTGGAAACGTTCAAATCAGTAAATATTTTCTATAGTCTCTGAAATACATTCAAATTTTGATAAATATATAATATTGCATGCGACAGTTATAGTGTAAATACATTAATGTAATATCATCCTAATGAACATAAAAGTCAAACTCAACGCGACGATTGAATATATTTAAAAAACTATGGTTTATTGAATATTGCATAGGATCACCATTTTACTGTATTTTGGGTATTTATTTATTGGTATATAGGGTGATATTTAACTTATTAGTAAGTTGACTGTCTGACTCTATTTATAATAAGGGTCGGTAAAATGAATAAACGTGTTCACAGGTATGAGTTTCAGACCGTTTGATGTTGAAGGGCCACTTACAAATGCATTATTGTTTATATTACAAATGTCACAGATTACGTCCAATAAGAGTAAACGACAAAGATTATTAAACAGATATGCCTCAGTGGTATGAGATCAGGACGCACTGCTCACCTAGTTAGGATCCATTTCTTTCTAAACCTTAGCAATGGTAAGGGATCCCAAAAATTAGGCATTGTAATAAGGTTCTCATATAAAAACTAGTAAGACTATACCCCAGTACTCCACCCGTGTAATAAGAAAAATCTAAAAGCAGAATAAAATCTTTATCATGTTGTACTATCGCGGACATTTGCGGTCTTTCACTTCGCATCGATATTTGCATGTCTCTTGCAACGTTTACTTCGCTCGCTCACTCACGCACTACTACCAATAATATTCAAAGTGTCCGTGAGTGCCCTGTACAAGGATGCGTACTTTTTTGTTTGTTTGTTTTTAGTTATAATCTGAATTTCGCCCATTGTCAACGCATCTAATTGTGATATTTGTTAATCTTTCTACTATTTATGCTACCTGGATTCTGGTTCTTGCTTCTACAAAACTCTTTCTTTTAGACTGGACTGCTATATCGTGTGTTGCGTTATTATATTGCTGTATAATTCAAAAATAATGGCGCGCAATTTAAGAAAAGAAAGATTAGTATTAAGTGAAAAAGGCAGAAATATTTCGCAGAATTTAACTACATGTTTTGGTAAGTCATTAAAACATTAAGTTTACATACACAATTTTCGTATTATCGAGATTATGTAAATAGAAAAACATTCCCCTTTTTATTGGGTCTTAGACTTAAGTCATAATGTCTACAATTATAGATAGATTAATCTTACGATAAAAACAAAACAGTTATATATAATGTCACCAAATACTTTTAATTATATAGAACGCATTATTTTGAAACAAGCAATGCGAATTCATTTTTATGCAGTTAGTGCAGTATGTAACTATTTCGTTAATTGCCAATTGCATCGTAAGTAATAGGTATGCCGTGGCTTCAACTTGAACAAATGTTATCTTTAAAGAAACAATAACTTAAACATATCTTTAAACAGTTTATTTTGTCACATTTAATTAATATACAAGTTTAATTTTGCAGAAAGAGACAGTTCGCCAATGGATACAACGAGACGCTACAGAGGGGTCAATTGAAGACCGTCCCCGAGCACATATATTAGGTAGTATAATAATTATTAGTACTGGTAGGTAGATATAGATTTAGTCCGACAGTATATTATATGTAACTATATTAATTTAAATTATTTGTTATTGGTATTACATTTGATAAAATATAAGTGATAAAAATTAATAAGCATTTTTTTGTTATTTTGAAAATTGTAATGATGTTTGATTATTTTTGTTTTACGAATAAGAATTGTTTTTATCTTTCATCCATTTATGGAATAAAAATGATTACGTCAGAAAGGCGTAGGATTAAATATTTGATTATTTTGATATTATAAACAATGCAATTATTCGCAATAAAGATTTTTACGTCAGAATGGCTAAGGATTACAATACTTCTAATACTTAATATTGATTATAATATTTAATTGTTTACTATTTATGCAGAAGGTCGATTAAATAATTTTATCAAAAGTAATCTTTTTAATTTTTTTTCTTATATTTAAACTTTAGAATACGGATTAATCGGATAAATTATAAGCAATTTGTATTTTGAAAATTTAAGCATATAAATAAATTTTTAACATGATAGTTATTTATTTTATTGTTGGAAGAATTACAGCTAAACAATGAAAAATAATTAACTCAATAACAACAAAAAGCTAATGATAAGTCAAAATTAGCAAGCTAGTAGAATTAGAAAAACATTAAACATTGTTCCTACTAATAGAAAACGCAAATAAAATAAAATAAATAGAATATTATAACGTTTTAAATTGTAAAATTGTACCCCTTTTATTAATATAAGAAAATGCTGTAGATTTCTATTTTGAATTTGATTAATAAATATTTATATTTAATTATGTATTTACAAAAAGTCATTCAAAAAGTATTTTGAAATGGGATTAACGTGTTCATGAAAACGATTTTGTATTATTTAAAATACACACTTTATTTTAAACACCATCGATTCTTTTTCTAATAAAACTCATGATTCACTCAATAATTATACCTCTGAAAGTGATAAAGCTGGCCATCAGAACAGCGTATGCAACAAATGGATCACGAGAATAATTCATTGTAACAACACCCAAAAATTCGTAATTTACCAGCGGCCGACGTTGCCAGCGCGGGCTAGACCCCGCGTCGCAGCAATATGCAACATATTTATACCAAAACTGTTACGTGCGTAAACGAGACAAATGAGCTATCATTGAAACGATTGAGATTTTTACGTTAGCCTAAGCACAAGCGATACTAGACGTATGGGTGGTAGAGAGGCAATGTCAGTGATTGTACATATCTGTGACTCATTTTTTAAGTTATTAACTGTACGTTTCCATCTTTTACAATCCGTTGCTTAGAGTGAAGTGCTTTACTGACGAGTTTATACAGTATTATTTATTACAGTATTATACGTTATTATTATTATTATTATTATTATTATATATTGTATTAACACATAAGTATGTTGTTGATTATATAGTGTTCGTAAAGTAAATATAAGTAACATAATTACTCGATATTACATTAAGTATATATGTAGTTTATTTCACAATGCATATTTCTGAGTGGAGTATGGTGTGGATGTGCGTTATTTTATCTGTTACACGTTGTATGTGTCAAATCATTTCAAAAAGTGCCAACACAATATAAGTCATATGTGAAAATACCGATTCTTCATTTCAGTAAGAATGATTTCATTCGATAATACTTTGCTCTTTGAAATTGAAATGATGACAGTTTGATTAGGTTGGTTGGTAGATCTGCTTTCATTGATTATTGTATTGACGTCATTGACGTTTGTCAAAATAAAATATTACAAGAATTGGTGTTGTACAGGTTTTGCAGGGGATTTCGCGTTTTTTTGGTCGTAGTTGTTACACGTGGTATGGGGATTTCTTTGTTTATTTAGTGAATATTAGCCCATTTTCTACGTGGAATTACGAAATATTGTGTTTATATTTAGTACTAACAGCTGGTATTGGTAAGTAGTCATAGATTTCTGTTTCCCTGTCCTTTCCACTGATTACAAAATAATCAATGGAAAGGACCCCTCCTGAACCTCCGGATCCGCCGGATCGGCCTTCTACTCCACTAATGATGGAACTTTCTCCTCCGCTATTCACACAGACAGGAGTTAAACGTCGAAATGAAATTGAACCCGAATTGACTAACACACCCAAAAGAGTAATAACAGAGGTTAGGCAGACAGATGTCACAGAGAACCCTCCCGGTATATACACCCACCCATCTATAAACGAAACTAACAAACAATATATTGATAGGGATAAAGGCCCTTTTATTGTTCATATCTCTAAAACTGAAACAGATCCCTCATCAGGCATATCAATTCATCCCATTAAGTTTGGCCAGTTACTAATTAAAAACAAGATTAAAAATATTGTCAATGATGGTATTAAAAAAGTTGGCCGCAATAGAATTTCTGTTGAATTTATGACCAGTTTGGATGCAAATCAGTTCATAAACAACTCCTTCCTTTCAATCTATAAATATACTGCACAAATACCTAATTACAATGTTACTCGCATGGGAATTGTTAAAGGTGTACCATCTGATCTATCAATGGAAGAGTTAGTAGAATCGTTAGTAATCCCTGTTAGCTGCGGTCATATTTTGAAGGCAAGACGACTTAATAGAAAGACTGTGATAGATGGCAAAGTGACCTGGGTACCAACTCAAACTGTAGTTCTTACATTCCAAGGACAGGTCCTCCCTAATAAATTTTTTGTTTACCATACGTCCGTGCCAGTAGAAGCTTACCATTTTCCCACTATACAATGTCTAAACTGCTGCAGATTTGGACACATTAAAGTACAATGCCGGTCTAAACCACGTTGCTTCCGCTGCGCTCAACCTCACTCTGGGGAATCATGTAGTATTATTGAAGCTCAATCAACTTGCCTTTTCTGTTTAGGCTGTCATTATGCTACTAACAAAAGTTGCCCAGAACAGTCTCGACAAAGATCAATTAAAATACTCATGTCACAAGATAATATTTCATACCAAGAAGCATCCCAAAGATTTCCCTCAGTGAAAAGATCCTATGCGGATGTAACCCAATCTCCTCTATCGAGGCATCCCCATATTCAGCACACACAAACATCTCCTAACAAACATCCAACAGGTACAACTTCATATCGGAAAACTGTATTCCTTCCCCCAAGCTCTAGAACCCCTTTGAGCCCGGGATATGATCGATTAGCCCATCAGGCTATTATTGAAAACTGCCCCTCTTTCCTCCCAAATGGCTGCGCTCTCAATAATGACAATGCACCAATAGAAATCTCCCCAAATGATAACTTGTTAGAAACCCTCTTAACATTTGTTGTAAGCCTTCTAAATAGATTTGATGACATCCCAGTACCGACCAACGTTGCGCAAAAAATCAATCAACTTCACAAATTTCTCACTAATAACAAAAATGGCGACGATAATTCAATGGAACTGCAGTAGCATTAATACCAAAACTCATGAACTAAATTATTTTATAAATAAATTCTCCCCATCTCTCTTTGCCTTATCGGAGACATGGTTGGTGCCTGGTGCACTCTATGGCATATCCGGGTACTCCTGCCTCCGGGATGACAGGAGGGACGGTTATGGAGGGAGTGCATTGCTGGTCAGCTACTCCCTCCCTTTTAATAAAATCAACTTACCACCCCACAGTGACAGCATTAACGCAGTGGCTGTGAGACTCTTAAACATAACATTTTTATCAATATACATTCCTCCCCAATCTTCACCTAATATTGTTATCCCAGAATTAATAGCCATTATTATGTCACTTCCTCCTCCGGTAGTAATTATGGGAGACTTTAATGCACATCATGTGGTATGGGGTTCATATTCAAATGATTCCCTCGGTTGCCAACTTATTGACTTATTAGATGAGAGAGATCTTTGTCTACTAAACGATGGAAGCCCCACTAGAAGGAACCGCCCTAATCAAAACCCATCAGCAGTGGATATCACAGTTTGTTCTCCTTCACTGGCATCGAATATATCATGGACCGTATTAAGTAGTACACACGGCAGTGATCATTTCCCAATTTTAATTTCGACATTAGATAGTCCCCCTTCTACTAACCGGCCACCCCCCTTATTACAATTTAGACTTCACAAGGCAAATTGGTCAGCTTATTCTGAGACATTGGACAGTAATGTAGATAGCCTTCCAAAAGTAACGTCTGAAAATGGTACCAAAGCTTATGACGCGTTAGTGGAATACTTAATTGACGCCGCACATATAAACATCCCCAAAAAAAATTGCACCCAAAAAAAAATATCTCCTCCATGGTGGGACTCTGAATGTTCAGAGGCTATCAAAAGACGGAAACAAGCCGAAAAAAAATACAATCATTCCATGTCCATGGAAAACTTCCTTTCGTTTCAACGAATTGCGGCTCAAACTAAAAAATTAATCAAACAAAAAAAAAGAACAGGATGGAATAAATTCTGCGAATCTTTGTCACCTGGTACCCCTTCAGCAATAGTCTGGAATCAACTTAAAAGATTCCGTAGAGCTAACAACCGTCGTAACTTGACTGCCAACGATTCCTCAAGCTGGATTGAAGCGTTTGCTGATAAATTAGCTCCTTCATCTGTCCCAAATGCTGACTGCCTTCCCATCAACCCCAATATCCACTTTCCCTCCACCGACATCATAGACGGAGCTTTTACCTTTGAAGAACTTCAAAAAGCGCTTTCTGGCCTTAATGATACATCTCCAGGTCTAGATGGAATTCCATACTCCTTTTTAATTAGAGCCCCAGATAAATTAAAACAATATTTCCTAAAATTAATTAACCTTTTTTATGATAAAGCTCTCATCCCTGATCAATGGACAAAACAGATTGTGATTCCAATACTAAAACCGGGTAGGAACCCATCCGACCACTCCTCTTATAGGCCTATAGCCCTTTCGTCGGTTCTCTTAAAAGTCGTCGAGCATATAATGAAAAATCGCCTAGAGTGGTTTGTAGAAAGACATGACATTCTTGCTAAATCACAGTTCGGTTTTAGAAAAGGATATAGCACTTTAGACAGTCTCAGTACTCTTACAACAGACATCCGTTTAGCGTTAGTGAAAAAAGAATACCTAATTGGAGTATTCCTGGATATATCGTCTGCATATGACAACGTCCTTATTCCGGTGCTCAGGCAGAAAATGCAACATCTGAACATCCCAGTGAAGTTGGTTCGATTCATTTGCAACCTGATAACGTCCAGGTCTATTTTGATAAGGTCTCAAAACCATACATTGGCTAGGACTATATGGAAAGGCCTACCACAAGGATCGGTTCTTAGCCCCATACTTTACAGTTTATACACTTTCGATATGGAACTTTCGGTGAACCCCTTCTGCCAGATTTTACAATACGCTGATGACGTAGCCCTTTACGTCACAGTGAAATCAATACCGGAGGCTACTTCACGACTTAACTCTGCTCTATCATATCTCGGTGATTGGCTGTCTGACCATGGACTATCCGTCTCCACACCAAAATGTAGCACCGTAATCTTTACAAAGAAACGAAACATCCCTGCTCCGAACATCAAATTTCAGGACTTCACAATAGAAATTAGGCCTTCAGTAAAGTTCTTAGGGATGATACTTGACTCTAGACTCACGGGTACTGAGCATTTCAATAATATTGCCAGTAAGGCAGAAAAGGGCGTAAACGTTTTGCGAGCTTTGTCTGGCGTCTGGTGGGGCGCACACCCAGTAACTCAAAGACTGCTTTATAACGCAATAATTCGTAGTCACTTTGACTATGGCTCATTTCTCCTTGACCCATGCAATAAAACAGCTCTGGATAAAATCAACAAAATCCAATCGAAGTGCTTACGAATTATACTAGGGGCAATGAAATCCTCCCCCATCAATGCCCTTCAAATAGAAGGGGGCGATCCCCCACTTTTTCTGCGTAGACAATACCTCAGTGACAGATTTCTCCTTAAGGTTTTACAAAATGAAAATCACCCATTGTTACCTTCTTTAGACAAGCTGACCCATTTATCAAATATAAATTCTAATTCTTCTCATAAAGTACCCTGTATAGTTACTAGTTATTATAAGTTCCACCGCCCATCCATTTCCATTGAAAAATTTCCTTGCAACCCTTTGTTTTTAAACAGCTTCGAGTCTTTAGTTTTCGATCCGCCCATCTCACTTAATCTGGGTATTGAAAAACAGTCACCCAGTTCAAATAAATCCTTCAATGAGGTAATGTGTAAAAACTGGCCGCATTGGCTTCAAATATTTACGGATGCATCCAAGATTTCAGATACTGAGAGTGTTGGAGCGGCAGTATGGATACCCAAGTATAAGATAGTCCTGAATTTTAAAATACCACCACCCTCATCAGTCTTTACGGGTGAAGCAATCGCAATATTGGAGGCAATTTTATATTGTGAATCACACAATTTAAACCGCTCAATCATCCTATCCGATTCTCTTAGCTGCCTTCAGGCAATATCCTCCAATCCCATGCGGTCCAAATCTCGCTTCCCAATTATCCTCAAAATTAGAGAAGCTTTACTTAGATGTAAAGTGAAAGAAATAGAACTGATGCTGAGCTGGATCCCAGGTCACAGTGGCATACACGGCAATGAAACTGCTGATTCGTGTGCCAGGAATGCAATCTCCACTGGTTGTACTAGTCATTCCGAACTTACATATAACGATCTCATCCCCCTCCTTCATTCTCATCTATCGCAATCATGGGAGACGCATTGGACAAACACTAAAAATAAGAGTGGAAAGTACTACTTTGACATCCAACCAACTATTCCAACAAAACCTTGGTTCATAAAACAGAAACATACTCCCAAACAGGTTGTATCAGTGTTATGCCGTCTCCGCATTGGACACGCAAGCTTACCAGTTCATTTGGCCAAAATTAATGTTAAGGATAATCCCCTTTGTGAGTGCGGCCTAGATGAGGGATCTGTAGAACACACACTATTTGACTGCCCCAAACTCTTGTATTCCCTGTATGATGTACTCCCACAAGAAGTTCCTCGCCCCATTAATATTAAAAATGTGCTTCAACTGGTTAATACACCCTGTTTAAAAACACTAATTAAATTTATCTTAAGTAATAAGTTAAAATTATAATGAACCATTCCTTATTTCCCCCTTACTAAAATGTTATGCCTGTATATGTGTTGTGTTGTGTAACGTGATGCATGCGATAAAATGTGTTTTGTTTCAGGTTCGTTATCGACATAGAAAGTGTATAATTATTTATTTAAATATTAGAATCTCTTTTCCAAATTAATTATGTATAGAATCCCTATCGTGTAGTGGCTATCCACGTGAAATTGGCGGAATTGTGCGAAAAGCGCAGATGGGCCATCAATAAAAGAAGAAGAAGAAGAAGAAGAAGGTTTTGCAGGGAAAATAATAAACAAAAAATTTATTATGGCTCACATACAATTTGTCGATGAATTAGTTCGGGAATATTTACTTTTTAGAGGCTTTAACACTACAGTAAAAGCTTTCGATACCGATTTAAAGGCGGATAAGGATAAAGGTTTTAGGGTAGATAAAATAATTGAACAAATTTTACATTACATTAATGTTTCTGATTTAAATGGCTTAAAAGAATATTGGTCACATCTTGATAACTTAGTATTCTCAAAATTGGAAATTCACTTTCAACCTGGTAAGTGTTTTTAAGCGGGTATAAGAAAAACTCAATGCTAGCCATAAACCATGTGATAATTTATTTCATTATATGCAGCGGTTCGAAAACTGGAGTACAGTCTTTACAAATTATATCTGGTAACAGCGGCTCAAAGTACAGGTGGAGTGCGGAATGAAAAAGTTGCAGATTTCTTTGCCAAAATGTTACCAGAACTGCAAGGCCAGAATGAATGGCGAGAATGGTTCAGTAAGTTTATTTTTATAAAATTAAAGAAACTTTTAAATTTGCTTACTGTAATTTTAATACAAATAAAAAATATTTATATTGTATTTCTCAAAATAACTCCTTTATTTTATAAGTATACACAATAATTTATAAAACTTTCTGAATGATTTCCCAAAGAGGTGGGCATAATTAAAATTCATATGTTTATATTTTCTGGCCTTCTTTTAGCTTTGTATATGTGCCAAAATTTAACTACATTAGTCTAGTAGTTTTTACAAGTTACCTTTTGAGGTACTAAACCAGAGGTTCCCAAACAATTTTTTCTTGTAGACCATTTTAAAAAAATTACTGGTTTCGGTGGACCCCCTGCTACTACATTTTTACCATATTCCCAAAATTCGTCCAAAATGTGAAGATCTAACAATGGAAATTGGCATAGCGGGTGAGTATGTTGAATCCCTCGTGGACCCCTGGGGGTCCACCTGGACCACTTAGGGTATCTGCTGTACTAAACACTAAAAATGACAATTTGACATTGACTTAAAAATATATTTTTCTTTTTCAGTGCTACCTTACATACAGAAACCAGAAGAGAACCCTTCGTTTAGTCTATATTTCACACGCACCTGGCAGGACAGCGTCCTTGTGTCCCTCCACAATTTGTTGGCCACAGTGTTTCAGTGCATGCCACAACCAACCCTTACCAGCTATGAAAGTGATGCTGCTTTAGTCAAAAGACTTCAAGACGAATTAGCTGTTTTAAAAGGAAAGGTAATACAGTCAGAAATTATCATGGAAAATACATTTTTGTTTTCAATTTTCTTTTTTTTATTGTTTTCATGACAGTGTTCCCAGATTTTACTATTATCATATGTAGATTATAGTATAATTTCATAATGATGCAAACTTTTAAGAAGTTCCTTTATTCTAATATACCTAAATTTTTCCATAGAGTCTTGCATACACTTTATAGTATTGTTGATTCTACAGATATTATTATTTTAGATGCTTATTACAGGGGAAGTAACAAGTAAAATAAATAAATAATAATATCCCATTTTGGGATATATAATGAGTTCAAATTATGTCTGTCACCTTTGCAGGTAACTAATAATTGCATCTCAATAGGGATGATGACAAATTTTTGTTTGTTTGTTTGTCAGGTAGAGTGTTAAAAAATATTAAACACGTATTTTTTTCCTAATCAAAAAATTACGGCGTTACATTGAGTTGAAATTTCGCATGACGTCACTTTAGAGTACGTTTTCTTCTCAACTGTGACGTAGCGAGCCCCCACTCCTTAACTTTAATGCCTGTTATCTAAGCTATTTCTTGTTAATTTGAAGTAAAAATAAAATACGTATCTAATATTTTTCTATTATCTGACTGACAGACCAAATAGAATTGCATTTTTTTACCCAGTCATCATCCCTATTACTTGCATCCAATATTATTAGTGCTATATCTTCGTCACAAATCAATGGTAATAGATATACACTAATATTGGATTTCAGGTAGATGTATAATGGCAAAATGCAATTAGTCAAGATTCTATTGAGATGCAACTATTATGAAAACATTATCGGAATGGGCTGACTGAGCTCCTGAGACATGTGAACTTCTTTATTAATTTTATAAGATATACATATGATTTATTAATTTCCAATACCTAGTAAATATAAAAAAAAGAGTCAATTTCATACAAAAAAAAGTACCTACTTGGTTCAAACCAAAAGTATTAAGTAGTTGTGCCTAGTTACTTTGTTATGTTTAGTACCCAGCTCAGCACATTCGTTTAGACGTAATACGAATCATTTGATTTTAAGCCTTATTATGATGATAGTAGAGTTTATTTACTTGCAGTATTTCAGCGTATTGTGCTGTGTGTATGATATTTTTGCTAATTTTTACTACACTACAATACGATACTGAGGTTGCTTTTGATTGTGAACACTGTTAATACATGATGATGATGATGACTGCTTGCTTTTGGTGAAATTAGGGTGAACTCTTCAACATATATTCATTATGCAGAAATCATAAAATATTATTTAATAAAATATATTTCGTTTTACATGGAAATGACACCCCTATCTTCAAAGTGTAACGTAATTAATGGATGGCTGTTTAGATGCTGCATAAACCGATACTAAAGAAAGTACAAGGTTCTAAATGTAGACTTTGTATGAATTTTACAGTTGCAACAACAACCGTCCATGGAGAAGACATCACCCATAGGCCACCAGTCACGTCTAGCCCAATACTCGGAGAGATTGAGTGGACCATTGCCCCTTGTAGATGATTTTTGTGCAGTACCTTCGGAACAGCTTGATAGTGGAGTCAGGGAAGCCAAGGGTCTACGCGGTCTTCTACGCCAGATGGGCGGCAGCCCTGTTATGGGTAGGAGACAAGCTAGATCACAAAGCCAGAACTGATCTTATTTATTTATTGTAGCTTAAATTAATTTTGTAAATAATTGTACATTCCGATTTTTTATGTTAAATCTGTATTAAGTGTTATTAGAAGCATAATGGTAAATTAAAATATATCAGAATAAGATATCTTTTTTTTCATTTATACACATTAAGATAGTTTCAAAGCAAGATTTTTTCCGAAATACACTCACAGGCACAATTAACCGATAAAGATTAAAGAATGATTACCAAAAATCGATTTATTGAAATCTTCTAAGAAAATTTTAAAATTTTGGTTTTTGAAAATGAAAATCCAATTAAAACGAAAAATAACAATTTATAGTGGGTGACAATTTTGCCACCTCTGGCCCTTATGACATTTGTCAATCCATCCACGATGTCTTGAATATTCGATTGGGGGATATTATGCCACTCCTCTACTGCAGCCGTTTTTATCTCTGCCTGCGGCCCATGGTAAAACTTGAATCCCGACCTCATTAAGGTACCTACTCTCTGACGGATCTTACGGTATGGTAACGTGCATTGTCATGCATTAATCTGAAGTTGTCACTAACGAACGGAGCGTAAGATAAGACATGGTCTAGAAATTTCTTCCACGTATCTTTGAGCGTTTAAACTTCCTCTATAGAACGCAACAAAATCGGTACGAGCCTCATAAGAAATATTGTTATTGTTTCGAGTTGCAGATTATCTTGGGTGTATGCAGCCCAGTATCACTGCGACCATTGCTGATCTATTGTGATCTCCACATACTACAGTTCACGGTCAAGATTACACTCTAAAAGGAACTGTAGTATTTTCTTGGCCGTAAGTTCTTTAATATCGTCTGGGTGCATCACGTGCTTTCCCAGATAGATACATCGTTTTCGCATTAGTGACGGGCAATCGGTCAAAATGTACAAAGGTGTTTCCTCCTCCTCCTTGCATCCTCTGCACATTCTACTGCCGCTGATCCCCATATTGTACATGTGTCTGTTCAGTCCACAATGTCCCGTGAGTGCTCGTACTAGTGTGCGAAGGTGATTTTTGGTTAAGTTTAAGGCCTCTGATGCCGCCTTTTTGTTTAAGGGTTTTAATCAGGGTCTTAGAGTGTTTCAAACCGGGAGTGTTTCTCCATAGATGAATAGCTGCGTAATGGCAGTATGTTTTCAAGGTGAGCTGGGTTAGGCTTTGAGGGATGCCACAGAAAAGTTCTGGTCCGATTAGGGCGTCTTTAGCACCCTTCTTCGCCAGTTTGTCCGCCTGTTCATTGCCCTCGTGTCCAGCGTGACCTGGAACCCATCGTAGAACTACTTTGTTTTTGTTGCCCAAAGAGTTCAATGTCTGTTTGCAGTTCTCGACCAGCTTCGATCTAGTTACGTCGGAGGCTAGTGATAAGAGTGCAGCTTGACTATCAGAGTGGATGTAGATAGTATGATTGAGGTAGTTGTTTTGCAGATTGGCTGCCGCACATTCCAAAATGGCGTACACCTCCGCCTGGAATATTGAGGAGTACTTTCCCATGTTCAGACTTATAGCCTTCCTTGGGGCTTCTCCATAAATTCCACATCCTACCTCAGGACCGGATTTGGAGCCGTCAGTGTACCACTTTAGACTTCCATTTTTCCATACTATACGATTGTTTGACCAGTCGTCCCTGGTGGGTATCTCCACAAGATATGACTTGTGTGAATCGACTCTCGGGGGCATGGTGTCAGTAGGCATCCCCAGAATTGGTATGTTGCATATTGAGTCCTTCAGGTACCTCAAATTACCTGACAGCCATGTCTTCGCCTCCATGCTGGTAATCCTGTACATACTAGCCCTCGCCACCATTTCAATGTGTCGATGTAGGGGCGGCAGCTTTAGCAGAGCCTCAAGGGCAGCAGTCGGGGTGAAAGACATAGCTCCTGTTACTATAAGACAAGCAGTCCTTTGCAGACTGTTAAGTCTTGATATGATAGTACTCTGTGTCGTTTTTCTACTCCAAACCACCGAGGCGTAAGACACCATCGGCCTTATGATGGCTGTGTAGAGCCAGAGGGCTATATTGGGTTTCAAGCCCCATCTATTTCCCGCTAGCCGACAACATATCATCAGAGCTGTTTTAGACTTCTGTATAATTCCGTCTACATGTGCGTTCCAGGTAAGTTTCTGGTCCAGTGTTAACCCCAGATACTTGACCTCTGTCGAGAACGGAATGAGCCTCCCATTCATGGTCGGAGGCGAAAGCTTATCCAGTTTTCGTTTCCTTGTGAATGGGACGACCACGGTTTTGCCTGCATTAATCGACAGATTATTGTTTTTACACCATGAGTTAATTGTGTTCAGCGCCCTCTGCATAAGGTACGATAGCATACTTTGGCAGTTTCCTCTCACTATCACCACCAGGTCATCGGCATAGCCTAGGGTGTCAAAGCGGAGTTCAGCCATCTTATGGAGAAGCTGGTCCACCGCAAGAGTCCACAGTAGCGGAGAAAGTACTCCACCTTGCGGACATCCTGTTGTGGTAGGGCAACACTAATGACAGCCCGCGCATATTATATTGTCGGTTAGAGATTATCTATGGAACTATGGAGGCCGGCTTGTCTAGGTTGTACTTTGTGAGTAGTGTGTTTGTTACAATAATAATAAAAGCTAATTCCTTGAATGTTGAGTTAATCATTTCTACATGGTGGCAGCGGTGTTATTAAATAATAATAAACATGGAGGCTAATCCAAGCAGGGAGGAGTCGAGACCTGTTAAACTTTTGATACCCATGCAAAATGTCAGCCCGCCGGAAGAATTTTCATTTGAAAGCAAAGATTGGCAAAGTTGGAATAAAAGGTTTGAGCGTTATTTAAGTCTAAGTGGTGTAGAGAGAAACGATAAAGATAAAATTGATTTGTTTTTATACGTACTGGGTGGAAAAGCAGAACAGCTTGTGAGACAACTAAAAGTGGAAAACTGTGAAAAGTATGTTGAAGTACATTCAGCTTTTGATAATTATTTCACACCCAAGAAAAATGTGGTTCATGAACGATATAAATTTAATATAAGAAAGCAAAAAGAAGGTGAAAAGATAGAGGACTTTGTTCGAGGGCTAAATATTTTAGCTGACTCCTGTAATTATGGTACATTAAGAGATGAGTTGATAAGAGATCGTTTAATAGTAGGGGTTGCAGATAGGAAATTAAGTGAACGATTGCAACTCATACCAGAGCTGAGTCTAGATGATGCAATAAAATTATCAATGCAAGCAGAAGAACAAAGGGAGGAAGCCAGATTGATGTGGAGACGTGAAGCAGAAGAAATGCAAATAAACAAAATAGCAAACAATACAGGCACTAAGGTGAACGAGGATGGAGGAAGAAAATGTTGGTGGTGTGGAGGAGCAATGCATAAGCGGGAGAAGTGTCCAGCGTTTAAAGTCAATTGCTATAAATGCAAGAGAGTAGGACATTATTCTCGTTGTTGTCGAGACTGGAAAAGGATAAACAATATAAATGAAGACGAGTTTAAGGTACTAGTACA